TGCGAGAGGTGGTTACCGCGGGTCAGCGGGCGCCCCAGCGCATTTATTAAGGGTTATTTATCGCCAGGTCCCGTTCCCGCGCTGAGCCCAGCTCTGCCTCTCTTTTCCTCCAGTTGCTTTGGATCCGCCGCGCTGCCGGTTGAAGCCTTCTCCAATAAAGTTAGTTGCCTTAGCGTACAGAGCACCTCGGAAGCAGCCTGAAGGAGATTACGTCCCGGACTCGGATGAGGGGCTATTACGCTGCATTAGCGAAGACACGAGGTCGCCCAGTGCCCATGTGAACAAGGATGAAGAAGGCTCATCTACTCTTCATCACGCTGGGGGCAGGGAAGTGCCAACACGGCCGACAACTCCGCACACATGCACTGGTTTTTATTTTTACCTCTGTCTTATGCAAGAGATGTGTGATTACCGAGGGCAACCCTGCCTCAGATCCATTTCTCTCACTGGATATTTCCCAAACTATGGTTAAAAACTGTTAATCATGAATTTGACTCTGAGTGTAATGTTTAATTAGTACAGCACAGATGTCCTCAGCTTGGGCACTTCAAATGCCTGCCTGTATTTCCCTGAAATAAAGCCTTAGCCCATTGTTTTGGGGGTTTTTTTTGGTGCCATTTTCAGTACAGCACTGTTATTCCTACTTCAGAAAAAAAAAAAAAAAGCAGGCTAGCCATTTAACCTCAGAGCTCAGTTGGAGATGTTCTCAGCTAATCTACCTCTTTCAACTGCAAAAAAGTAGCAATTTATGGTGCTATTCCAGAACACCATAGCTCTTGGTTACCTCAGAGACACCCGAGTCATCTGCGAGTATGCAACAAGCTCAGGGAGAAGCCTGGGCCCTTCAGTGGCTGAACAGCTCTTTCGAGGGAAGGCTAGCTTGATCTGTCATGTGCTTTACCAATCTAATCACAAAACCACCACTTTAGTAGACCTTAACATAGTAGACTTTAGTAGACCTTCTCCACTTCCTTCGGGTCAACAACAGGCAAAATATTCAGAGCTCTAAGATAGGAGGGTACGTGCTGATCCCTAGAGCTCCTCTTCAAGGTTTTTTCAGCTGTTTACTGAAACAGCAAAGATTTAAAACTTTGTTGCTCTTCTGCTCCTACAGCTGACCCCGAATATTTGGTCCCCTGGTTACAAAGGGCCCTTTGCTGGAGCCTCCGGACAGCCTAAGGCCACATGGCCAATGCCTTCAACACCCCAGTTTCGTTTCGGGCATTTTGTGCTAGCTGCTCCCGCTTCAGGGAGGGGAGACCTACTTCCAGTCCTGCAGAGAGGCAGGACCGAATTGAGAGCAGACACTCCTACGTGCAGGAATCTGGCGGTGTGTTTTTATGTAACTGTCTGGTGCCTCTGTCTATTTGAAGCATTAGTTGTTTATGCTCTCCTTCAGCAAGCAAGAAGGTAAGAGGGTTTGTTTTGGTTTTTTTTTAAAGTTTAAAAACAAACCTCAAGATTTTACAGAAGCCTGCAGAAGTTAAGACTTCGTTCAACTTGCTATTTTAAAAATTATTCCTGTCCAAAGTGCCTACAGCAAGGATCCATGTGCCCTTTTCCTTACAGTGAAGAGAAGCCAAGTTGCAGGCCATAAGATGCTCTGGGAAAAGCATTCAAGATATAGGAAGGGAAAAATGGATTTTTCTCCCTGGTTTCTGTCCACGGAAATGCTAGGAAGTGGAACAAAAAGGCCTCCTACCAGATGGAGAAATCCCTGCTACAGACGCTCCCCACTTACCACGTGAGCTTCCCTGATGGCTCGTTTTGGCTGCATGCTTTCAGCTGCCCAGGGCACCTTATGGCTGGGATTATGCAGGCAAGGCAGCCTAGCACTGAAGGTTAAGCTAACGCAAGGGTGTATATTTACAAAACAGATCAGGTTAGGGACATGTCAGGTAGAGTACGTGAAACTAGCCTCAGATCACCCTCACTAGCTAACAAACCTCTCCAACAAGCACAACCTGAACCC